TTGTTGGGGGGGAACCACACCCATAAAAAAAAAAAAAAAAAAAAAAAAAAAAAAAAAAAAAAAAACTCTCTAAAAAAAAAGTTCACAGAGTCTGGAGAGACTATCTGGTCTGACCCATGGACAGGCTTGCTGCTGGAGTCCCTATACAGGCTGGCCTGGTAACTATGTCAGCAGGTAAGTTGGCCTGGTGCCTGGGGCCTACTGGGATGGGCCTATACCCTGCATTAGCTAAAGAGTGGGGTCACAGAAACTGGGCTGGACCTTGAAGCCACAAGGACTGGTCTGGAACTTGCAGGTCTAGAGCCTGTGTCTATGGGGGCCAACCTGTAGGTTAGGTCTATGGGTGCCAGCTTGGTGCCTGAGGCCCTGGATGCTAATCTGATACTGGGGTAGGGCTGGAGGCTGGCCTATAGATGCTTATCTGAAGTCTGTGCTTTTGAGGGCTGACCCAGTATGGATCCGTGTCTGAAGCCTGTGGCTACATAGGCCAGCCTTGCATTGGCTCAGTCTGGAGCCTGGGCTGGGCCTGAAGCTATAGCCAGGGTCCACATAGGTCAATCTGCTGTTTGAGGTTAGCTTAAAATCTAGGGCACTGGAGGACAGCTTGACACTGAGTTCAGTCAGGAACTTGAGACCACTGGGCCCCTTGGGAATGGGGAAGGCTTGGGCAAAGAGCCTACAGAGCTGACTGAGAGCCCCTGGAGTTATGTGTTATGGGGGCTGGCCTACAGCCTGAGTCTTTGGGAGATGGCCTGGTGCTGGGGCAGGTCCAGAGATGGAGTGCATGGAGTCAGTGTGGAGGTTCAGTTCAAGAATGACTGCCTAGAGTCTGGGGCAACAAGGGCCTGCCCAGTGCTGGGTTTTATTATGGTAGGCCTGGTGGTGTAGTCCAAGGCAAAACTCAGTGCCATTTTCCTTTCCTTTCCACTTTACAGTCTATGTCTCTGCACTGTGTTGCCTGGGTTAGGGTAAGGGTGACACAAGTAACATGAAACTGTCCTTCCTACACTCTTACGTATGTCTTTTCTTATTTCTTTGCTTCACCCAGGTTCTTTAATTGCTCATCTTGTTTCCTTAGCTCTTGTGAAGGTGCTTTCATGCATGGATAGTTTTTCAAATCTATATTGCTGTGAAGAAATAAGCACTGGAAAATCCTTTCTGCCTTCTTGCTGACATCACTCTTGTTATACTTTTTATTTGCTTGTTTTAGAGATAGGATTTTGCTATGTTGCCCAGTCAAGCCTTGAACTTATGATCCTCCAGCCTCAGGCTCCTGAGTAGCTAGTATTACAGACATACACCACTACGCTGGCTCCTGGAAGTTTTAGATGAAAACTTCTTATCTAGCTAAGGAAGTTAATAAGTTAATGTATTTATTCAACAAATTTTGTTTTTTTAATTTTTACATTTTTAATTTCATTTTCTTTTATACATGCAATCACATTATTTAGCTTACAAAGTGAATATTTCAACAGGTGAACATTTTTCCTTAGTCCAATTGATAAAACTATAAAATATCTTCAACAGATAATACCATATTTCTTTGTCCCATTAATGCTTTGCCTCCCTATTTTTCTTCTAAATGTCCTTCAACAAATATTTTATGTGTCATGTATTATTCTAGGCACTTGGGAAACAGTGAATTTAACAGGCAAAATCTCTCTGCCTAGTAGAGTTTACATTCTAGTTGAGGTACAGTAAATAAATAATATAAAAAGCAAAATATAAACTATTATAGATGATAAATGTTGAGAAAAATAAAGCAAAGGAGGCAAGAGTGGTTGTTAGCGACAGGAAAGGGATTACAATATTACATAAAAAAAATGTCCAGAGAGGGGCCAGCAGGTGGCATAGTGGTTAAGTGCTGGAGTCTCACATGAATGACTGTGGCTTGGGTCCCAGGCCTGGCAGCTTGAAACTCATGCCAGACGTGTGTGTGTGCATGCCCAAAATACCAAGAGGATAACAGAGGAGAAGGAAAGGGGATTGTGATGTGATCATCTCCCCCGGGGTTGATTTCTCACTTTCTCTCTCTCTCCCCTGTGAGTACATATGCCCTATAGCAAAAATCTCTCTTTAAAAAAAGAAACAGTGCCCAGAGAAAGCCTTTATTTTGAAGAAATAAGGTAAAAAGAGCAAAAAGAAGAGTAGGGGTAAAGCATGAGTATCTATGGGGCAAAACATTCCATTCAAGGGCAGACCAAGTTAAAAGTCTTTGTGTCTGAGTGAGATGAGGCCATTGCAGGGTGTCGAAGTGTTGAATAGGGGAAAGCCATCATCCTGCCTTGTGAGTGGTGATTAGAGAGGGAGTGGGAGAGAGTGCTTCAGATCATGTGGGTCCTAGTAAACTACTGCGAGGACCTGAGTTTGATTCTGAGTTAGAGGAGGGCACTGCAGGGTAATGAGCAGGTGAGAGACATGATGTGACTTACATTTTAACATGATTTCTGTAGCCACGAGTGAAGAATATTTCAGGGGTTGGGGAAGAAAAGTGTCAGGAGGCTGTTACAGTAATACAGGCTTTGGAGTAGGCAGAGGCAGTAGAAGTGATGAGAAGTGAACAGATTATGGTTACATTTTGAAAGGGAAACTGACGTGAGGTACTGATAAGTCAATTTTGTGGTTGAGGGGAAAGAAAGAAATCAAAGTAGAGAATCAAGGAAGTTGCTAGTGAGGTTTTTTTATGAATAGGAGTCAAATTTTTAGCTTTTTTATTATACATATTTAAGATATACAATATGTTTTGATATACAGATATGTCTTGAAATTATTACTACACCAAACTATTGGTAATATATCCATCACCTCACATAGTTACCCTTTTGGTGTGATAAGAGCACCTAAAATCTACTATTGACTTGTCAGGAAAGTCATGAAGCATTTTTCTATGTAAAAATGTATCCTGACTTTTCTAGTAATCTGATTGGTAAATCTTCAGTATTCTATTCTACTAATGATAGTCCTTGTGCTGTACATTATATCTGCAAGTTGGTACCATTTTACTGACATCTCCCCATTCTTCCCAGTTCCCCAACCCATAACTTCTGTTCTAATCTCTGCTTCTGTGTATTCATCCTTTTCAGATTCCACATATGTGAGATAATGCAGAATATTTCTTTCTGTGCCTGACTTATTTCACTTACATATTGTCTTCCAGGTTCATCTGTTGTGGCAAATGGTAGAATTTACTTCTTCTCTAAGGCTGAATAACATTCCATTGTGTGTGTGCATGTGTGTGTGTGTGTATAAAATCATATTTTCTTAATTCATCAATAGATACTCAAGTGGTTTCCATGTCTTGGTTTTTGTGAATAATGCTGCAATAAACATTCAGAGGGCAGATATCTCTTTGATGTACTGATTTTTTATTGATTTTTCTTCTGCATGGATTCATGATCACCTGGGTTTTCTCATTTAATTTGTTAATGTGGGAAGCTGCATTATTAAATTATTTTATCTAATTATGCTAAATGAACTTTTTGTTACTGAGGGGAGGGAATCTTGGCCACTTTTTTTCATCTCCCCCACCCTCTTTATTCTTCCATTTGTGTTATAAATCACAATATTTGAAACCATGTTTTTCTACTGCTTATCTCCAAAAATTATTACTGTATCTTCTTCCAAATAGGCCTTTAGGAGCAAGTATGGAGACTTAACTACTGTTAGAAACAGTGTTACTACAGGAGAATGAGCTTTGAATCCAGACAATTGATTTCTCAGTGAACTTTAGAAACTAAAATATTCTGTGATCAGGAAAACACATATTTCTACTTAGAGATTTCTTAAGTCCTTCAATTTCCAGCAAAACTTTTCAAAAACTTCCATTCTTATTGTAACGCAAGCAAGGACAACTGGTTTCTGTCTTGTTGAGTGCAAATGATAGTTTACTCAAGTTTCTCTTTAAGGTATCCTCCTCTGAGTCCCAAGTACAAGGAATCCTTTGATGTGGGCTGTAACCTCTTTGCCAAGTTTTCTGCATACATTAAGAATACACAAAAGGATGCAAATAAAAGTAAGATACCTTTCTTTAAATCTACTTTTCTCACTTTCACACTCTCACATTCTCACCCAGCTGAAATAAGATTTTCCTGAATTTCCTCTGAAATTCTCTTGCATGAAGTTGTATTAAATTTAGAACCCAAGGTTCACTGTAGCAATTACCAATTTAGCTCACTTGTGTATTGACATGCCAGTTAGGAACTATAGGACTGTATACATTTAAGGTTCTTTAAACAGTAGTACCAACTATCTCCCCCAAACATTCTTGAATAGTTTTCCTATCCACTCAGTAACAAGAGCTATGTTTCTTCTTCCACTGTCTCTTTTGTGTTGGATAACATATCACTTTCCTTTTTTTAATGTAAAAACTAAAAATAAATAAAAATTCTACCAAGAAAAAAATGTCATTTTTCTTTCTTTGACACTCCTAACAATGTATCTCTCTAAGTCCAAACTATTTCCAACTCACCACTTGATCTGACTCTGTTCCATCAGTGAATAGTTAATCATTTTAAATAGTTAACTAACTACTGAAGACCCAGTGTAATCAATGTATATAGAGTGTCTAAATGTATGAAAAGTATATTGAGAATGTATGTAACCATTAAATAATACATTAATAATTAATCCCATGGTTTCATTGCTTCAGATTTTGAAAAATCTCTACTCAGAGAATTTAAGCGTCTGGATGAATACTTAAACACCCCACTTTTGGACGAAATTGATTCAGACAATGCTGAGGAACTCACAGTTTCCAGGAGATTGTTCTTGGATGGGAATCAGCTGACACTGGCTGACTGCAGCTTGTTACCCAAACTGAATATTATTAAAGTAAGTCTTTATAAGGCTGGCTGAACAGTATGGGATGGATTGCTGAGTTGCCAGAAGTGCAGGGATCTTCCAGAGTTAGGTTGGTTACATGGTAGCTTTGTCATTATCACCATACATATTGTATATGTCCATTTTCTCCTCAGAGGCAAGATCCACAATGAACTCCTATTGGAAGCATTAAAACTTTTCTTTCTTTCTAAATCAAAAGGTGTTTTTCACTTTCTTGTCTTTAAATCATTTCACAGAATTATTGAGAGAATTAAATAAAGCACATAAAACATTTAGAATAGTGCCTTGATAATAGCAAGTGATTAACAATGTAGACTGTTAATATTATTATGATTATTTACTCATTATTTTACCAAATTTTACTTAACAGAATTTATACAGAACTTACTCTCTGTGTCCTATGCCAGACACAGAGAATACATAAAGAAATAAGACATAGCTAAGACTCCAAATAAACTCTTAATCTAATGAAGAAGGATACGTGCTCCTTTATGTGCTCTCTTATTCTAAACATGTTCATAATAAAGAACAACATCAATGTAAACATGACTGCAAGCACTGTCTACATTTGTAGGAAATAATATTAAAATAAGAAGTCCAAGAATCTTTACATTTATTTTGTAGTTCATTTTGTAATAATTATTTTGTCAATAAGATTTCTTCAATTGACTTTTGCAATGTGTTTTTACACAGGAGCTATATTCCTGATGTCTACATTATTAACCTCTTTTTCCACTTTTTTTCTCCCAAATTATAGGTTGCTGCCAAGAAATACCGTGACTTTGACATTCCAGTAGAATTCTCAGGAGTCTGGCGCTATCTCCAAAATGCCTATGCCCGTGAAGAATTTATTCACACATGTCCTAAAGACAAAGAAATTGAAAATGCTTATGCAAATGTGGCTAAACAGAAGAGTTAAAATAGTTCTTTTCAGGAGAAAAATCTATATTTTTCTTTTATTATTTTTTTTTACACATTTAATCACTGTATATTATTACAGCATGCAAAATGAATTTTCCTAGCATGAATACACTGTATATTAGTCCAGATAAAGGTATTACCAGTGACCAGCAAATGGAGTAGCAGTTATATTGCCAGACTCCCACATGGCCAACCATTGTTGGAGTCTCAGACCCAATCTCGAAACTCACACTGGGCATCTGTACATGCATGTCCAAGATCTTGGGAAGAGAGTGGAGAAGAAGGGATTGTGGTGTGGCCAATCCCTCTAGAAGGTAATTTCTCACTTTCCCTCTCACTATCTCTGTTTCTGTCTTTCTCCAGCAAGCACGTGAGTCCTAAGGCAAAAACCTTTTTTAAAAAAAGATATTATGCGTGTTATCATCAATGGATAGTTTTTCATTTTTGTGGCCCTTAAATGTTTTGCTTCTTTCTTTTTCCCCTTGATGCCCTTTTTCTCACCTCCTCCATTTCCCACCCTCCTCCCACATTATCAGATTTCACTTGTTGCCATATTAGAACAGTTTTTGGAAATAAGAATATGAAAAATACTGTTTTCTCTCTACAACCCTTATCAAAATAATTCTGTATTTTCTAGATAAGCATTCATTTCTAGTTAACTCGGTATGAACTAGTTAACCATAAATAATCAGTGCATTGCATATTTTGTAGGTTTTTATGTTTTCACCTTATTTTATTTATTCCTGTAGCCAATCATTGCCATCTTGAATGACATGGAAAGCATCAAGATCTTTTTGTCTTTTGTTCAAATTCCTAGAATGCATAAACAAACGTATCAAGTTACAATTGACACAAGTAGAGCCAGGATCTCATGTTGCTTCCTAAAAACATTTCCATCTAAGTCATTTAAACAATTTTACATTTTTTTAGTTTAATACATGAAATCAGAGTGAGCATACCTAAGAGGCAAATACTAAAAGACTGATTTTTAAAAATCAGCTAGCAGAAGACATCAAGACCAACCAATCTTGGAATAGCATTCAATACCTAGAAATATGACCACCTCCTAGTCAGAGATGATAATATGGCCTTTGTGACCAGATTATATTAGTGCTAGATGAGAAAACATTCATTAGATAAAACATAATTTTAAAAAAGATCAGAAACAAATAAATGGCCAAGTTGGCAAGTCAATTGAATCTTTTATTCATAGAAATAAAAAGAAAACCAAGAAAATGGGTGACTAAAAGTCTTATTGATGTCCATAAAAAGGATATAGTCCTTAGAGGATAACCACAAAGCTTTTGACAGAATTTAAATGTTACATTACTATGGTCGACCTGCTCTTTCCTTTTTTATTTTTTTTATTATTATTATTTTTTTTGAGAGTTTTTTTGCTATAGGGCATGTGTGCTCGCCAGAAAGACAGAAAGACAGAAAGCTAGAAATCATCCCCCGGGGGGATGGCCACACTGCAATCCCTTCTCCTTCATTCTCATCTCAGGATCTTGGGAACACACACACACATGTACCTGGTGTGAGTTTAAGCCACCGGGTCTGGAACTCAAACCGCAGTTGACTACATGGGAGTCCAGCAACATAGCTATTATGCCAACTGCTGGTCTCTCATGCACTTTCCTTTTTTGAAGTTGCACTTCTGTTTGTGTTTCTTCTTTGAAGGAGCAAGAGTGAAGTTCGTTTTTTGTTTCCATATTCAAATGATTTGAGAGTTACTTTAACAAGGTAATCTAAATACATATACTAATCTAACATTTTTAAATGCCTATGTTTGTGGATTGGAAAATTTAATTTTGTTAAGATGGCAATACTCCCCAAATTAAACTATAGAGTCAATGCAATCCCTATCAACATCCCAGCTTCCCTAATTGCAAAAACTGATAAGCTGATCTTAAAATTCATGTGGAACAGGGGGACAGCAGGTCACATAGTGGTTAAGATGCTGGACTTCCACATGGTCAACTGCAGTTTGAGTCTTGGATCTGGCAGTTTGAAACTCATGCCTGGTGTGTATGTGTGCATGCCCAAAATCCTGAGAGGAGAATGGATAGAAGGGATTTCAGTATGGCCATCCCCCCCACCCCCGGGGGATGATTTCTCACTTTCTGGATCTCTGTCACTCTGTGTCTTTCTGGTGAATACTGAATACAGGTGCCCTATAGCAAAAAGTTCATATGGAATTGTATAGGGCCCCAAATATCCAAAATGATCTTGGAAAAGAAGAACACAGTAGGAGGACTCACACTTTTTTTTTTCAGAACTTAACTACAAAGCTGTAATAGACAAGACAGTGTTGTACTGGCATAAGGCTAGGCAAATAGATCAATAGAATAAAACTGAGAGTCCAGAAATAAATTCACACATCTATGGTCAATTGATTTTCAACAAGAGTGTCAAAATTATTCAATAGTGAAAAAATAGTCCTTCAGGGAGAAGTTGTTGGGACAACTAGATATTTACATTAAAAAATTAAGTTAGACCCCTACCTCGCACAACATATAAAAATTAATTCAAACATATCATAGACCTAAATGTATGAGTTAAGATTATAAGACTGTTAGAACAAAGCATCAAAGTAAGTCATCATGACCTCAGACATGGCAAAGTATTTTTAGACACGATACTGGAAGCACAAACAAAAGAAAAACTAGATAATCTGCACTTAATCAAAATTTAAAATTTTGTGTGTCAAAGGACATCATCAAGAAAGTGATGGCTACTGTGAACTAGATTTTTAAGGG